TAATATAGTATTTTAAACTCCTCACCATTTTCCTTTATTTATTTTAAACCATGAGAACCTTTATTTCATCTCAACAATTTCTATTCAGAAAGGTAACTTGTGCTTTGTAATGTTCTTTTCCTATAGTCCAAATTTCTGGGTGCAGCTTATATTCGGCTGAATACTTAGTCATACCACAACTTTTTCCCACATTGTCTTTCTTTTATGTTCTTTTATGTTGAATTAAGTTGTAATTCAAAACTCTTAAAAAATCATGAATCTTAAAATTCACTATAATAATTTAATGTATTAATTACACTATAAAGTACTGTCTAGAACCTAAATAAGGTTTATAAATAATGAAATATTTAGAGAGAGAACACTGGAGCCACACATACAGAGACACAGAGGACTACTGAAAGAAGTAAAATAAATATTTAAATATTTTAAAACAGAGGCACTTCTTAAAAATAGTCCCACAAACAGTAAGCTTCTGTAACTGCTCACGGTTACAGAAATTAGTCAGATTGTTGTTAAATTATTCAAAGTGTCTGTTCCACAGGCTGAGTCAAACCATCTACTGATTTGGGTCCTGGGACAGTCCACTTGTGCTCTCATGCTAGCACAGATCGTGACCTTGGGTACAAATATGTAGGCTGTGACCAAGGTTCAAAGTGCGAGTACGTAAGGGCTTAAAAGTGATCACTGCCTTTTTTGTTTTCTGACCCCTCCTCTCCTCTCTTTATCTCTACCTCTCTCCCTCCCTTAGGTATCTGGCCACCACCTCGAAAAGGCACACTATGCACGCCATGACCAACTCCCCTGCCGAGGCACCCCCCGATCAGCAGCGGCAGCAGAGTTCTCGCCCTCGAGTGTGGGCACAGCATCTGCCACTGGAGCAGCACTGTCGGTTAGCATGCTAAGCTAGCACACAGGATTGATTCTGGTGTTGACTCACTGGTTCTGCACCCCATACATCGACTGGACACTGAGTGACACATTATCTGATCCTGGTGCTTGCACACTGGTACTGGGCCTGATACACTGACAGCCTAAAGTGACTGACTCAATCACACTTGATAACAGGGGCCTGATAATTGACTCATCGGTTCTCGATGGAACTCGGTAGTTCTCAATGAAGGGATTGTAATGCGTTTTGTTTTTAGGTCGAGCTATAAGGATTGTAACACTCTCCACTTGCCCACGGAGAGATTCTCTCCTGTCAGGCGCTTCTCTGATGGAGCTACAACTATCCAGGCCTTTAAAGCACACCTGGAGAACAGCAGCATCATTAAACAGCTCAAACAGGTACAGCATCAAGCCTCTCTACATGAGTGTCATCCTGGTGCAGTGTCTTTCTCAGTCTTCGTATGTGTCTAGAGCTGCAGTGTTTCTATTGCGATGGTCTTGACCATCTCACTGTCTCACATCCAGCTTCCCATCAGATTGTCTTCCTCCTCCTGTCTCTGTGTCTCCTTTAGACCACTGTTGAGTCAGAACTTTCTTTATACGACATTGTGAGCAGTTACACAGTCTAAGCTCTTGTTCTCTCAGAAATCTGCAGGAATACACAGTTATCCTCCCTCACTCAGGAGTGTGAGCAGTTATCAGTCTGAGCTCTTGTTCTCTCAGCACTCTGCAGAAATGCACAGTTATCATCTCTCTTTCAGGAGTGTGAGCAGTTACAGAAGATGTATGCAGCCCCTCAAGATGAGCGGCTCCTGGAGCACACACAACAGCAGCACATTCTCTACCAGCAAGAGCAGCAGATTCTACACCAGCAATTACAGGTACAACACTGCCTTGCAGCCTGTGACAGGGCCTGCACTGACACAACCAGTACAGGCCATGTGTGTGGCTGTGTGTTTATATGGGTGTGTGTGAGCAGGAGTGTGACTGTGCGCCTGTGTGGGTGTGTTTGACCAGGAGTGTGACTGCGCATGCGTGTGTGGGTGTGTGTGAGCAGGAGTGTGACTGCGCGAGCGTGTGTGTGGGTGTGTGTGAGCAGGGGTGTGACTACGCGCGCACGTGTGTGTGGGTGTGTGTGAGCAGGGGTGTGACTGTGCGCGCGCGTGTGTGGCTGTGTGTGAGCAGGAGTGTGACTGCGCGTGTGTGTGTGGGTTTGTGTGAGCAGGGGTGTGACTGTGCGCGCGCGTGTGTGGCTGTGTGTGAGCAGGAGTGTGACTGCGCGTGTGTGTGGGTGTGGGAGTAGTCATTTAGGCAGTTGACTCCGGTTTTCTTGGAGATCGGGACAGTGGTGGTTTTCCTGAAGCAAGAGGGGACTGTGCATTGAGTGAGGGAGAGATTAAATATGTCCGTGAAGATGTCCACAAGGTGATGTGCGCAGGCCTTCAGGACACGATATGACATTCTGAAATGTTGCACATTAATTTCTACTGAACGTTATCAGATCTTCATGTGGTTACTAGTGATCTATAAAGGAAGTCTAAGAGAACACATGTCACCAAAGGTTAATTTATTTAATAAACAAAGTCATCCAACATTCAGTGTTCCTGTGTAAAAAAGCTAATGCTCTCTCATAGGTTTAACTATGGTCAGCTGTGTGAGTCTTTTATTAAACAATTGGGCTGATTTAGGCCGGCACTGTGCTGTATAAAACTCACAAACCCCCATGAAATTGATAAAATTCAGTGGTGAAAATATGCAAAACTTCCGAAAATCCGAAAGGGAGCAAATACTTTTTCATAGAACCTGAGGGGTCACCCTGATTCTGCCAAGATCAGGCTATACTTCCAAAAAAACAAAATATTCTAAAAAAAAGATCAAAAGTGAACTTTTGATGTGGGAGTGCATTTGGACATGATTCATTATTTTGGCATGTCGGGATGAGGTATTGGGTCATGACCCAAGAAGGCATTTGAGTTTTCCCTATACAAGCTGCAGGCTTGTGCAGTATGTGCTGTTGGGGTGGGAGAGAAGTGTTGAAGTATGTGTTGCTTTTGTGTTGGAGCACAGGTTAACCAACATCTGTGTATTCACATTGTCTTCCAGGAGTGTATCCGCTCCCCTCAGCCCTCACCCCCCCTGCAGGCACTGTCACTGGGACAGCACGGAGAAGCCCAGCCCAGCCTGCTCACTCACCAGCTACAGAGGTACTCGAGACCATTACTGTTCTAATATTACTGATTGCTTTTGTCAGGTTCATG